GTTTGGCAAAGCCCTGACGAAAGTTCCAGAGGCGAATGTTCAAGTGAAAAAAACAAGAGCCGAGAAACAGAAGGAAAAGAGAGATACATTAAGAAGATGCGTACGAAGTACAAAAGAGAAGTGGGCAAAAACAGATGTGGCAAACCTCTTAAGTACAAGAGAGAGCTACAGCAAACGACAACAACGAAGGATGGCCCAGTATGAAACTCGAGAGGAGGCACAAACGAGGGCAAAAGCAAGAAAAGCGAAAGAGAAGGCAGGTTTGAAAAAGCCCAAGCAACACTCTCCTAATTGGAGAAACCTTGAGTGAGGGTCTGCATGGGGGGGTCCTGGCAACGGTTAACGGTAAATTCAGCAGCGCCGATAACGCTTAACGGTAAATTCAGGACGGTCGGCAACGCTTAACGGTAAATTGACAGGCTTTTTTCGAGCTGCACTGGATTTAATATCTTGCTTTGTGAGAAAAGGTGATCACTAACAAAATTACGTATACGTGTTTCCCACCTGCCCTGGTCCCCTAATGCGTCCACAAATAAAGGGGAGTCCGAGTCAACATTGGCCAGCTTGCATTTTTTCAGTCTGCCCAGTTTTACCGATGGATTTTGAGAGTAATCTGGGGGGTCCGGGGGATGCTCCCCCGGGAAAATTAGGATTTTTTAAGCCTTCAAAAACGCAATTTCCCGCATTTTGAGAGGCAAATCATGGTGTTGAGAGTGTTTGTCGGTCCTTCTGATGTTTTCATATTTTACTCAAGATTTTTGTTAATTTGCCTGTCAAGGTTGACGGATTCGTTAAGAAAATTCTGTAACTCTCCGCAAACTTCCGAAAATTGAAGGGAAAACTGGTTCTGCCTAGAGCCGAAGGGACCGAGCGCAGAAGCGCGAGTCGAGCGCCAAAGGCGCGAGCAATCTAGGGGGGTCCGGGGGCATTCTCCCCCGGGAAATTTTGTATTTTTAAACCTTCAATGACACATTTTCCTGCACTTTGAAAGGCAAAATTAGGCGTAACGAAGAATTATTCATTAACGCTTAACGCTGAATTTAGGATGACAAATAACGTTTTACGTTGAATTAAAACGGCCAATAACGCTTCACGAGGAATATACCGATAACGCTTAACGTTGAATTAGAGCGGGCCGGCAACGATTAACGGTGAATTAAAATAGGCCATAACGGTTAACGAAAAAGGGCATGCAGACCCTCTTGAGTTTGACAGAGAGGGGCTGCTGACACATGTCAAATCCTTGGCAAGTGGAAGTAAGGTAACTGTTACATGTAACGTTAGAAGTCATTGCAGCTCCTAGCCTGTTCCATAAAGAAGGTGTTTGCAGTTTGATAATAAAGTTGTTTCCTATTTCCTGGTTTGAAAGTGTTGTCTTATTCTTTGTGCTTGCACTGTTTTCAATCAAACAGTGTGACTGTTGCAATGTTCAAATGAACAGTTCATTTTACTTTTAGCTGTAGGTGTTTATAGACATGTGTTATTAATGGAACCATTTATCACAAACAGCATTACATATATCTGTCTATTTAAAGGAGCCAGTCTTTAAAAAAATAAAGGCTCAGCATCTTTACATCCATCACACACAACACTCACCACAAGAGAAGGACTACTTCACTGGAAACACAATTACATAACAGCATTGCTATGCCAGTTAACAGTTGAAAAAATCATTCCACATAAAGGATACTAGTATATGTATAGAGAGTAGGGTTTAGAAGCTCTAAGAACATGAAGAAGAATATTGTATACAAAATATCTATGTGAACATAGTATGTATCTCCTCTCTTTTTTATCCCCTATGCATTTCACACAGCTGTCAATAGTACTGTATATGGAAAATAAGACATACATGTACATATATTGCCCCTTGGTCTTTACAATATTTCCAAAAAACACATTAATGAATAATATGCAATATCTGTCAGGCCCAAAATACAATTTGACGCATAATTACATACCAGTTAAAAGAATGACCTGTAATATCATAAAGTAATGACTAAAGGTACATTTTCAATCATAAATCAGGATTTATCTGGTAGCACAGGGACTTGTCAGTCTTAGGCCCTGCATATTTGAAGTGGCTGTCATTTACAGAGAGGCCGGGAACAGTGATAAGTGGTGTATCAGCTTGCATCTATAACAAAGGAGTGATTTACAGACGTCAACATGGGATACTAGTATAATCATTACAGCAATCAAACAGTACAGCAGTGATAAAGTATATCCAACTCCAATGTCTTTTTGCATCCTCATTTTACATCGTAACTCCTGCATTATAGAAGTCAGTAATTGAACTTTGAAGAGGGATGGACATAAATAGAATCAAACACAATAATTGTGAAAGAGTACTTTATACTTCCATACATACATGTATTAGAAACTACTGTTAAACTGCCCAAAACTATATCTAAGGCAAATCGACAATAGAAATGGATGATGTTGCCTTAAATATACCAGGTATTCAGAAATAAATAGAAGGAATCTAAAATTACAGTGTCCATAAATATAACCTACCCATGTACTGATGGACTCCAGAGATGAATGTAATGTCAGAGGGCAAAAAGAATGTTGTCTAAAACAAATCATATCTGCTCCTCTCAGCATACCACAAATTGATACATAGAATAACAGCATATTAAGTATACTAAGTACCTCAGTTGCTAGCAGAGTACAATGGACAATGGAACTGACAGCCTTCTGCTAAAGTAGCACCTGCAAACATAAAGAGTACGAAATCATTAAAAAAAACATATCAAAGTACTCACTGGGGTTCATTATTAATCTGTAAAATACATATACAACTTATGTAATATACTGAAAATTCATCCTGTAAGGATGTCAGAAAAATGGCTCTTCTCTATCTGGCAAGCAGACCAAGCAGAATTAGTTCAAATGTTACTTGTTTTTTTGTTGAATGCCACAACTTTCACAAATACCTACCTAGTTCCATAACCGACACTGGTCACCAGGGGGACAAGGCAGACTTTGCAGAGGTGTAGCCAGGTCTTCCTATCTTGGGCTGCTGTCAGGGGTTGTGTCTATCACTAGAAAAGTGTAGTGGAAAGAAAGAAAGTTGTGTCAGGTAGGAAGTGCCAATAAAAGAAATCAAAGCCATATACACACTCACACACACATACACATACACAACACAGTGTCACACACACACACACACACACACATGTGCTACCCACATACATAACAGTGTCACATGTGCACAGACACACACACACATTATCATACACAGCGCACACTGTCAAACACACACAGATGCCACACACATACATAACAGTGCACACACACACACAACACAGTGTCACACACACAGCTACAGAGATGCCGCACACATAAGTTTCACATGTGCACACACACAGTGTCACACACACACACAGATGCCACACACATACATAACAGTGTCACATGTGCACATAGACAAACACACAGTGTCACACACACAAACACTTAATAATGTAATTAGTTGTAAGAAATGGCAAGTCGATATGATAACTGAAATGAATATAACTTAAATAAAATTCATCAAAATATAGGGTTCTTGCCTTATGTGTTATATTGTACTATCACATGCAAAGAAAGAGTGGCAGGCAAAGGGATTGAAATAGCACCTACACACTAGTATACTCAGCTGAATTAGGAGCTGTGCAGGTAGTTTGGATGTGTACAAACTCTCAATCTGCATCCCACCACATATACATGTAGCATGTAGTGGCATATATATGTCACAGTAGAGATGGTTTAGTACCAGTGCATTGTGCAGTAAAAAAGATTTTGAGCCCTGCAATGGAAAACTTTCATTCTCTATTCCCAGTGTGGTGTGGTGAAGCCATATCAAAATCTTGTTTTAATCTTGTCTTTCAATGCCAATCGCGTTTGACCCAATTACCCGCAATGCACTGCTGCAGTGGAGACCATATCCCACAAATCATTGCTGCTGTGGAGCGACTGGGCAATTGCTATATATATAGCAGTATTATAATCTGCAAGATGACTATCAAATTGGCCTGGCAGTATCTATTTCTATTTCATATTATCTGCCAGCCGAAATTTGCGTAATAGCAAGGTGCCAATAGAAAGCCCGATAAAAACGCGTGGCAAAAGGAACACGTCCAAAATAATAACCCGAGGCCATTGGCCATATACGCAAACATCTGCTTGGAGAGCAAATCATGCCTGGACCAACCCGGGCCAACGTCTCGAAACAGAGCCATACATTGCAAACTGAGTTTGTAAGTAATGATTACTATGATAAATAATGTACACTATCGATGATAATTTTACGTATGGGCGTTTTCAAGTTAAAAAAATTATATTTTAAAGCTTGCTACTCAGGGCGCGGCCCGAGACATGTTTAGGTTCAATTTTAAGTGTATTAAAACCTTACCTTCGTTAGCCGGAAGCTGGAATCCCATGCTCACGGCGGTCACAAGTTCAGGAGTGAGCTGACAATAAGCTGCACTGCTTTGTCGAAGCTCTGTGGTCGCTGCACGATCAACAGCATAATTTGCCTCGCCTCATGCATGGCCAACTCCCGACTCGCGACAAGTAAACTTTTGCACTCGGTACTCCGCGCGGCTTATGCCACATGCGTGGGAGGAGACAATTTCCAAACAATTTTGATTGAAATGTTTAAGATCTAATGAAACCCAAAGTATGAGGCATAATATCAATTACGTACTTGTACTTACACCTGAGATGAAGTAAAGCAATATTTAGTGTGAAAAACGACTGGGTAGCTGTACGGCGCTGGCGCCCCCCCGCAATTTGCTGGTTTACCTGCAACAATAAGCGAAGTCGTCTCCATGCCACGCTACTCTTCTCGACTGTCTCGCCATTTGGTCATCTTCTCCAAAATTCGCCTGGTCAGGAAATCCGCATTTTCTCTTCAAAACATCACCACAACGGCGCATATCCACAGCGAAACCTCTCAAGCATTCTGTTGCGCACTTCGTAAAGCTACCGACGAAAACTCTAAGTAGTATCCAGAAAATTGTAAAAAAGAAATTCAGCCCAGAGCATTCCCGTCGTACGAAATCGCCATTTTGAACGCACCATGTTTTTACACAGGTGTGCAAAACGGCTGTCTAATTAATGTGAAGCTGTTAATCTAATTATGACGACCAATGAGGGCTCGTCTCGGTGATAGGCACTTGTGGCATGTGGCGAAGAAGGAGGATTAGATTACGAAGAAAGACTAATATCAATCTCAGGGTGAAAAATGGATGAAAATGCAGCTACAGGGTACTTGAGTATTTCTGTTATCGACAAATAAACGTTCTGACGAATAAGCTGTTATGTGACCATAGTATGAAATATAACACTGTTGTCCAGTTTTCCTATTACTGTAAATTCATTAATTTTCGCGTTGACTTCATTGCATGGTATATCGAAAACCTTCCACACACAGGCAAACCTGTCCTTGGTGCTGAACACCTTCCACACACAGGCAAACCTGTCCTTGGTGCTGAACACCTTCCACACACAGGCAAACCTGTCCTTGGTGCTGAACACCTTCTACACACAGGAAAACTATTTTACGATAGGAAAACTAAGCTGACGAATGCTTTTTAAGCTGTGATGTTCCAGAACAAGTTTACCGCACCCCTGCCTGGCCACGACTTGTTCTATCACCGGCAAACGGCAAGAGAACGCAACGACGTAATGATGACCTTTCCTTCGATTATTAGACGAAAACTACGCATACTAATTACTATGAACTATACACCTGAACTACTGAACTGAATAGTAAAATGTAACGAAAAATTACAGGTTTTAGTTAATATGAAACTAGTCAGTCCGCATGAGAAGATGTGCGTTCCCCTGCCCTCCCCGTTGCCATGGTGCAGCATCACTAACATTTCATCACACCTGAGATAGAAAACCGGCGTGTGAAGTGATACTCTGGTTCTACCAGACAAACTTACTGTCTTATAATCTCTTGGTGAAATATCGAGAAATAAACTCGAGAAACATACAATGGCAAACAAGAGAGCCCGAACCAATGAAGTCCAGGCGGATAACGTTAACTGGCTGGTAAGTAAATGTGTTAAAATTTCAACAAAGTTACGCCACACACAGTTCTATCGTATAGAACTGTATATAAAGATCATTCCGGAGGATTTCATTTTTTTTAAATTACGTATAACCACTTGGGAACTGTTAGGTAGATATATAATGTGCCAGGAAACTTTTTTGAGTGCACTAATTCATGAAGTTGTGTAGGTGGTGGCAACTCGAGCTCGTAGTCGAACATATTAAGTGATGTACGACAATTGCTTGGGCTTAGCTTGGGTAGTTATAATTAAAGGGTCTTCCCTCTGACTTTGCGTTGTTATCATTATTGTTTTATACAGCAAGGGGCCTTGGCAAAGAAGAGACGTTGCCCGGCTAGCACGGCCCAGCCTAAGAGGAGGCACCTGTCACAATGCCTCGATCCGAGGCTACAAAAATCCTACTACCCAGACCCGTTCCGCCCGACGCGGCCCGTCCCCCCGCCCGTGTCTCACATCAACCCCTTCCCGGCTGTGTACGTACCGACGCCCGCCGTTTTCCCCACCTTTGCGCCTGATCCTGAGCCGATGGACTGGCAGACCAGCGACTACAGAGAAATCATCCTCCTGCCATCTCTCCATCAGTCTCAAGATGAAACCCCGATGGACTGGGAGTGATGAGTTGACTTGACTACAGGTGACTCAGAACTGCCACCGCACCGAGAGAGAACGAAGACCGACCCGCCAGCCCGCAAGTTGACGAGGGAGCTGGCATCCCAAGAAGAAACGCAGAAAGGAGAGAAGTTTCGTACCCTTTGTGTGGACGAAACAAACGGCAGTTATCGTGTCCAACGTCGATCTCCACTGCCGTCGTGAAGTAGATGAGGTGGGACTGTCGCCACTGTGACAAACATTTGATAGAGGTACCGCACTGCGGCAGGCCAGGATCGGCAAAACATCTGCCTGGACTTGGTGATGTTGTCCTCGCGCGCTGTAATCTTCTGTCGGAAACCCTGGGAATGTGGCCAAGGACATACATAGATATGCACGGTCTGTTTACACACCGTCCAGTTACTCTATAACAGTTACATCCTACAACAACTACTTCGAAAGAAGTACTCGTACTTACAACAACAATTCGTTACAACAAAATTCCACGTTGATCGAAATCGAATACTGTACATGTGAGATACTTTATACTGTATGTAACGTTACAAATGTACTGAATCCCTGACCCAAGAACTTACACTATGAATCTAACACTTCCAGAAAATTTTGCCTTAAGCTTAGAAGCTCCTCTTCAGTGCCATAGGTACCCGCTAGGAGGCCCATTGTCGAAGTTGACCTCCCTGTTTGCTGCCCCTATCCACCCATCTCGATTCTTGAAAAGTAGTGAAATTATCACGAAAAAAAAGACACTGGAGAAAGATGCTACTGACAACCAACACTTCAATTTTATTGACTCCAGTCAGAGTGTTAACATCAAATTCACATTGTACAAAAGAACAATGAAGTCCATCTATATCCACAGTTATAAGACTACCATCAAATTTGCTCTCTAAACGCACAACAAAAATCCACTCAACAACACAGCTGGATGAAGCAATACATAGCAGGGACATTTGTTCTGAGTGTATGTTCAACCCATGTGTTTCTTGTAGGTCTTTTATTACGATTTTATGTAGGCAGTGATATTTGTAATGTGTCTGTGTAAAGGGAAGTTGGTACACTGATATGATAGGGTTCTGTTTTCCCCTATAATGGGAAAGTAGCACACACTGTAGTGTCACTTTCAGTACCATGAGTTCTGAGTACTTTTCAAAACCAGAAAAAAGTTTTCAAACTGAATTGAAACATGGGAAAACTTAATGTTGATATGACAGTACTTTGGCATAAAACAACACAATACAAAGATATGTAAATACAGTTTTGCCATCATAGTAAATGTAGTTTTGGTAGTGTAACCGAGGTGTGCAATGTGTAATGCCAAATATGAATATTTTCCTGTATCATCTTTCTTCATCACAATTATTACAATATTTTCAACACAATAAGGGCTACATACATTCAACTTCGCTGGATCATGTTGTATTGTTATTTAAGTGGGGTGTAACAAGGAGTAACTTAAAAATGGCAGAAAGTTTCTTGACTTCCAAGTGTTGTGTCAAGCTTGAGTGGAAGTTATTTTTCTCTGTGTTGATTTGAGCAGGTAGTTAACTAAGAAAGACTTGCAACAAAATGTGTGAGAAGTATCAGTAGTCAGCTCCAATAGAGGTATATATGCTGGACTCAGCTCCAAAGAGGTAATACAGTACTCTGCTAAAAGTAATTTCACACTCATAATTATGATAAACATCATAATATCTTTCCACATAGCCAATAATAGGCTAAAATTTAGTAATTTAAGACATTTCAAAATCAATTTAAGTTCACTATCTTAGTGTTAACACCACTAAGAAACAAAATGTTTCAACCATGATTTGTCACAAATTTTATACACACAAATACAAGTTATCATTAATGTTAACATTGTCTATTATACAATTATGCTAATTATGACAAGAATGTATAGTTTTAGAAACATGATTTCTAAATTTTCAATACTTCTTTTATAGAGGTTTCAAAGGGAGGTTGTTTGGCAGCCAATTCACAGATTTTAGCTAACATAAAAACAGAAAAAATGTTCAAAAATCTAAACAAAGTAAAAAGAGAAGTATGATGTAACTTTTCTGTACCTTATTTGCTATGCATGATAACTTTTCAATAGATTTTGCTGGAAAACTTTTATCATTTCACAGGTCATGATTATGCTTCTCAAAATATGATTTGGCTCAACAAAATAGCCAGGGGAATTTTGCTTCATAATGTAAATATCAATGAAACCAATGAATGCAACTGAAAAGTACAACTGAACAAAATAAGAACCCTAGCCTAGCTATGGCACAAAGAGTTTGTCATACACATTTCCAAACTGTTGATTTGAGCAAGCCAAACCTCAGTATTGGAAGGTTTCTAATATCAGGTACAACTGTATTGTTGTACTAAATACTTGGTACCTTTTGTGCAGATGTGTTCACCATCTCACAAAGAACAGCAGAAATAACTTTGTCAAATTTCTCAGTGAACACATGTGCATAGAAAGGTACCATAACACTAGCACTCAACAATTCATTCCTCTGTACTAAAGCCATTTGGAACAACAAATTTAGACAAACTTAGACTAGTATTTTCCATGAGAGTTTTTAAGCCTTGGTTGGAAAGTAAGCTCCTTATTCTGTGACAGCAGGTTCGGTACAGGACGGTTCAGTGTGATTGGTAGAGGTTACAGTAAACATGACCACTTGTTCACAAGGCACAGATACTGCTTCACAAACATCTACATCCTGGTGCTGGAATGAAAACAAAAATAGTGGCGACATCATTTACAGATTGTCTACTTCTTCCACTAGAGACAAACGCCCACTAGGCTTCAGCAGTTCCACCAGAGCTATTCTGTCAGAAAAGAAGGAGATCCAAAAATCTTTCTGGCTCCCCGAATATTTTTCTAATGGAATAGACTTCAGTTGTTTGACAGAAAGATATATTGATAACTCTTTTCCTATGGATTTCCCAATATCATTTTTTTGATATACTGCAATTTGGCTCAGTTAAATTACTGAGAATTTTAAATCCTGAGGCTACATTTTGACACACTCATTCCCACCAATTGGTACAGCTGTCAATCAACTTTGGGCCTGCTGAAGCCTGTGTGGACCATAATATTCACCAAAGTACACAGCACTACTTTATACTATAGACTATACATGGACACAACAAACAGTCACATATTATATGCAATCTCCGTATCACCACATTACTGCAATAGATATTTTGTACTTCAAATACTTGTATATTCAAATTCTTTATACAAATGTTCTTGTATAAAAGTCAGGGGTTAGGTACATGACTGTAGTATGGCATGCAACACATTCGTAACCTGTACTCTGAATAACATTCTAAGTGATAATGGCCGTTATCATGTAATTTATGTACAATATTGCTAACAGGGGAAACACTACAAACTAACTTTCTAGGACACGTACAGAGGTTAGAAAGGAAGTACATTAGGAAGGGATAAGATTACATGGAGATAAAGGACTTCAGCAGGTTGAACACTAACAGATACTAATTATGCAAATAGGGACATAATTTGCATAATTAATGTGAAAATGTTGGAGGACAACCATGACAACACACAGCTGTCATATCTGCCAATCATTCTCAATTGTAGTGTAGCAGAGTATTGAATGTCCAATTTCTTCATGTAAGGTTATGCCCTCCTGGCTGACTTTATTATAATCGTTATGGTAATATGCATTCCAAGGTCAAAGGGTTGAAATTATGACACTCAGAGGTCATAGATTATCTCTTAACCCTTTTCATCCCAAGTGCTGATATAGAAAGCCACAAAACAGACAAAAAGTCAAGTGCAGCAACTTAAGCACATCCCAATAGCTTTCTTAACAGTGCGGCATCATAGCTCTGATGCTCACAATGAACCAAAAACCAACTTTTGGACAAAAACAGTTTTTCGTACAGTCATCACCAGTCAACGCAATTGAGGAAAAATGCAGCCACAAATTCATTCAATATCTTATACAGAAAATAGAATAATCCAACCCCAAATAAAAGTAGAAGCAACTGAGATCATAAACAAAATACACAGAAATCCTCAAAAGAATTTCACACACAAACTTCAAAGCATCTTTACATGTACTTTAGCGATAAGCCAGCAGACCATAAAAATACATGGCGTGCACATGGTACTTTTTTCACAGTATTCACATGGCAACAAGCATCATCTTCTCGTGGTAACCACCTAGAGTCACGTGCATGAACACGGCTAAATACACTACATAGTAGAAACTACGGACTCCCAAACTGGGCACAGACTAGTCTGATATTTATATATAGCAGACATCTAGGGTAACTGGAAATAGCTCCACAGAGACATATAGAAATTGTCAGTATATACATGTACAAACCTGACCCCTCATGATTTTGCTTGTATTTCCCACAGACTAAAAGGGTCGACATTGGTCAAACTCACTGGAGGTATTAAAAAACTGTGATGCCACATTTTTCAAAGTAAACAATTTGCAAATCCTTTCAATAGGATATCAAGAAATGTGAAAAAAACTGCACTTAGAAGCTGAGAAGTTTTAGGTACAGAAAAAAAGGTGCATCTTTCCCCCCACCCAAGTTATTTTTCAGAACTTTTAAGAAATGATAATTTGACCGTTAGTTATGTCATGTCCAAATAGTGTTTGTGTTTGCAATTGGACTAGTCTTCACAATGTGGTCTTCATTTTAAAAGTGTACGAATCATTTATACCATTTAGGACAGTTTTCCTCTGTAAAGTTAGCATGTTATGCATTATAAACAAATTGATGTATTCACAAATCATACTAGAAAGCCATTAAGTAAGATAATGTTTCAGTCTTTCACAGGGAATATAAGTAGTCCATCTACAAAACGTCATTATACACAACAGGATAATTTTAGATGTGGACAACCTCAGTTGAAAACTCTACACAAGACAGTACAAATCAGGTACCACATGTTACCATGCAATGTTTGGTTCTCATACAAAAAACACAGAAGTATTGAAAACAACTCTGCCCCTGAGGCATTGCCAAAAACATCTCCATGGAGGTACATGAAGAATTGACCGAGCTGGGTCCAGCCAAGTGCCACCAAGCAACGTCTCAAACTTCCCTATATAAAGACAAGCAGGGTTAGGTTTAGCAAAGGCAAGAGTTACGTTGTCTCATGAAATTTCAATAGAAAGCATTTGAGTACTTTATCATGCAGTTCACTGCTTGCATGCCAGGGGGAGCTCGTGAAATGACAGCAAAAGGCACAGGAGGTATGGGATTGTCTGTCAGATCAGGATCTGATCTGGATGTGAATGGCAAGCAAATCAAAAGTAATCACAGAAATGACCAAACCCTTCACAAAATCAACACAAGCCAACCAAAAATCCATGCATGAAGAAGACCATGAAAGAACATCCTCACGATTCAGACAATCTAGGCCACAATATCCACACATTTTGATCAATGATCACATGAAGCATCAGTGTATGATCCATGCAGAACTGATTGCCAATCCTAGATAAAGCAACACTCCATGCAGGATGCATTAGCAGTTGATCAATCTTTGGGACACACTGATGAAGGCAATTGTGGGATCCTTTGAGTTGTCCCAAACATGCAAATCAACAAGTGATTATGGCAGACACAAACCATTCATTGGTTTGATAGTTCTGTAATAACTGTGATGCATATTATTGAATCATGTTTCTTATATCATATTGGTACTTTGCATAATTGAAAGATGGAACCACAAAATATGGCTGAAGATTCATGCAAAGGGTAGCAGTCACAAAACACAAAGAGAGGCAAACACAAAAATCTGCAATAAAGAGTTATTTATGAAGGGGACAGGTGAGACAAAAGAATATCATTTAATTTCTTACTTTTCCTCCATGTTCCGCACCATACAGATAGAGAACACCATGCCAAGGATCTGGAAAAAAAACCATCACAAACATGGTCAAGTTTCATCCATTATTCTTATGGATTAAAACCATTGTTTTACATCTTGTTTAAAAGACCTTTCTTTGTCACTGTACAACTATATCTTCAGTTTATGTATATGATCCAACTTATTTGTTGAATAAAAAGTTGATTTTGGGACTTTTGGAAAAATGCCATGATGATACATTCATGTTGTTTCCCACCCATCTATGATGTACACATCAGCAGAACATACTGCGCCTACATGAAACTTGTGATGTATTGTGCATAGTACTTTGTCAGAATGTTTCGTTTAAGGTTATATCCTGTCTATAGTTTCATAGTGTTGGAAAACTTATCCAATTCATCTGCAACTGGCATCTGCAACTGGCATCTTGAAAAGGCTACTACCTTCCATCCAGGCTGTCATCAAGGACCAATACGCGTACGTAAAGGGTTCCTCTACAACCCTGGCTCTGGTTCGGATGGTGCAAACGTGGTTAACTGCGGTAGATTCAAACAAGCCAACCTTGGTCAGAGCGATCTTCGCTGACATGAGTAAGGCGTTTGATCGTGTGGATCATGCTCGGCTTCTACAGCGCGTTATTGACATCCACACTAGCCCTCGCATGCAGAGGTGGATCGTCAGCTATCTCCAGAACCGCCGGCAGAGGGTCGTCATCGACGGCGAGACTAGTTCATGGCGCACCCTAACGTCGGGGGTGCCACAGGGAGGCGTTCTTTCCCCCTACCTGTTCATTCTCTTCATGAGCACGCGCACCACGGTACACATTGACACAATGAACGTTGGATATGCCGATGACGTCACACTGTCAAGGACTCTCTCCGTAGCCTTAGCTGATCAGGACAAAACTGTAGAGGACGAGTCTTCTCACCTCAACTCCTGGGCAGAGGACAACAAGATGACACTGAACGGTGGGAAGAGCCTCCTTCTCCAGATCTGCTTCAGTCGATCTGTCCCAATCCCACCCACGATCACTCTTGGAGGTCAACCAGTGCCATCTGTCGACTGTGCTAAGGGACTGGGTTTCCTCATAGACAAGGACCTATCCTTCAATGAACAGGTTAACTCCATGATCAGTAACGCTTCGCGCAGACTACACTACTTGCGCCTACTAACGAAACAAGGCACCAGCGTTACCGACCTAATCCAGATTTATCTGGCGCTAGTCCGGCCAGTGCTCGAATACGGACATGTGTTACTGGTCGGGTGTAGTAAGGAGCAAGAACTGGCCATCGAAAGGGTCCAGCGCCGGGCCTTGCGTATCATTTCCTTGGGAGGAAGGCGTAGCGTGCCTGGCCTGCCCACACTGAAGTCGAGGAGGGAAGATGCGGCAGTACACCTGTTCCAACGCATGCTTCAGGAGGACCACCCTCTACATGACCTAGTACCGCCCTCAAGGTCTGGTGCCACGGGACGGACACTTAGAAACTCTAGCACTATCAGTGTACCAAGGGCCCGGACTGAGAGACTAAGAAATTCTTTCCTCCATTGCGCAATCCGTCTTTACAACAAGACAATTAGCACTGAGTAATTGGACATCTGGTAATCGCGCCATGTATAGCATATGTTAACTGTGACATGTTATTTGTGATGTTTTTAATATTGAGATTTTACCTATGTGACGATTCGTTTTAAAATGTAAATGTTTTTAATGTGACTTGTGTAATAAGGACGTAATTCGGGTGCACATGTGTTGCCCGCGAGTTCCTTAATGAATAAAGATTGATTGATTGATTGATAATTCTGATGCAACGTTGACCAAACATCTAATGAAAACCGTGAACAATCTGGGTTTTGCACAGGAACAGAACATTCTAAAACATGCTCTATGATGTCTATATGAGGCCACACCAATTTAATTTGTTGGTTCTCGGATTTTTTCAGAAAAAATATGAAGCGACAGGGCGAAAAAAAATAAAAATAAAAACAGGTCTAGGCATCCTATTATAGGCTTAAATGCTACGAAATGAGCCATGAAGTCAACATAAAAGGCCGGATTAAAATTTAAACATTGAATTTTGAACTTTTAATCAAACCACTGCAATGATAGATGGGAAAACTGTAACAACTAGGAAGAAAAGGACTTTCCTCAACTGTTGGGGGCAAAACATGAGCATTTTTCAGTTGATTCAGGACCAGAATCAAAATTTTTTTTTTTTGCAAATCAGAAAAAAACGAAGAGGCGAATCCGAGAACCAACAAATTAAATTGGTGTGGCCTGAGGATTGAAAAATGGTTTGGTTTTCTTTTAGTGCCTACAATATTGATACAATCATGCTGGCATACTCATTTTCACCTGAGTGATGTGAGGAAAGTTGTCGAAAGGTGTTAAATGCCTTTCCAAAGGGCACAAGGTTGGTGACTTGGCATGATTCGAAACCAGGACCTCCAGGTTCTGAGCAGAAGGCTCTGTCGTTACGCCACGCGGCCCCAAAATAAATGTCCAGTAAACCTGTGTACTGTGACCTACCATGACTGCCGCGATGGCAATTCCTACGATAGCGATGATGAGAATCTTCTCTTGGAACTCTGATTTCATCTTCTCAAAACACCCCTGGGAAAGAGAAACTTGTCATCAGAGCACAGAAAACGTCCAGAACAGTGTGCAGAAAAGTGGAAATAGCAAGTAGTAAAATTAGTAATAATAATAGAAGACTTTTCAAGCTACTCCCAATACTGTGTCCTGGACACAGTGGATTAACAACCTATTGTCCCTAATGCCTAAAAAAGACTATGGGACTGCCTTTATCTACCTTATCAATATCATACAGGAATCTGTCCCAAATTCCATGTCTTCTAATAGAGAATCAAAGGAAGCAGCACCAAGGTTTCAGCACCATGGAGAAAAACTTATGTATTCTTGCTTTTTCTTTTGCTTTATGACTTGTCTAACTTTTGTTTCCTTTTGGTCTTAAAAAAAATTGCCTGTACTCATTCACATTCAGTCAGTAGTTCCTACTTATAAACCTGCTTTTCTGACACATTTCCGGTGTCACTGACGTAAGGTAGTGGATGCTACCTGAAACGTCTGACCATTTCCAAAATCATATCCAGTTGCTTGAGTAACTATTTCCTGGTGAGATCTTATTACCTGGATGTCTAACCTTCACCGACGGGGCAAACGTTATGTAACACAGGTTACAGTGTCCTGTAAAAACTTCTTTACTCTTCACACAGATGCTACGAGAAGACCATCCCCTACATGACCTTGTCCCTCTCTCCAGATCTACAGCTACCGGTTGTTCACTCAGGAACAAGAAGACTATCTCTATCCCCCCCGCCAGAACAAAAAGACTACAGAACTCTTTCCTTCACCAGTCAATCAGACTCTATAACCGGACTGTACAGATAGAGTCTGGCACAAGATAATGGACATTGTAAATATCTGGGTTGTACACCTACTGTACTGTTTTTATAGTTGTTGTAAATGTATATTAATATTTTGACATTTTATCATGTAAATATCAACACCATTCAGGCGACATTGTATGTCATGTTTGTCTGTTATGTTTGGTGTCTTAATAAAGAATTGAAAGAATTGAATTGGAAAAAAACCTACCCCGGCGTTCATGTACGCGGAGTTGGTGGGATCGGCGAAGCAGGCGGTCTCGTTCGTGGGCTTGTTGTCGAGCGAGGCTTTGTCCCTGACGCAGCAGGAGGACGGGAAGTTCATCCGCGTGCCCTGTCCCTGGTTCTGCACCCAGTTAGATGTCAGCCAGTCCTGGTAACCTGTTGTACCACAGCACCCAAACTGGAGGGGTGAAATCACAGCTACATAAAGGGAAAACCCTCTACCACTTGTACACAATTATCAAATGTTTCTTCTTTCCTTGTGCCTAACATCTTTAGAAACACGACATGTCAGCCAGTCCTGGTATCCTGCTGTTCCACAGCAACCAAACTGGAGGGGTGACAGTTACAATCACAGCTACATAAAGCAAAACCCTACGACTAGCATTTCCTTCTACACAATTATCAAATTTTTCTTCTTTCCTTGTTTGTTCGTCAGAAACACGACATGTCAGCCAGTCCTGGTAACCTGTTGTACCACAGCACCCAAACTGGAGGGGTGAAATAACATAAACAAAACCCTTCCTTCAATCAGGGACATTACACAGTGTATGTTCTTGCTTCTATATTTAATTTATTTTCAAATGTTTGGTCTCGTCTTAAAAACCTGATCTGAGTCCAATTTATACACAATAGCTACAGAACACCACCTGTTCTAATCATCTCAAGAGTATTGTAACTTTGTCTAATATTTTTCAAGTAGAAGGGGAAAGGAGGTATCATACATCATACATGTACATCTGAAAAATGGTATCATTAAGTTGAAGGGCAGTAAATAGTAAACTGACCGAACTCCAATTTAGAGTTTAATTTTCTTCTTGCACACCAGTTAGGTAAAACCTTTCCAAGTGATTTACAACTAATAACTAAAAGAACCTTCTTAGCCCCTATAAATGTTGCTGGGACCATCTGACTTCATCACTAGTTTGACCACAGTAAACTTACGATGATCTGAACGTAGTTCCATGCGGCAGATGTGGGGTCCTGAGCCTTGGGTCCTTTGTAGTCCTCCTGCAGGGTCTTATTCATCATGTCTGACAAAACCTGCTCCGTCTGGAGACAGAGGAAACACAAGTCAATACAATCATGAAAGTTTGTCTGTGTTGGTAGTATACATGTTTGAAATTCAGACTTTCCATCCAACACAAAGAAATGTTCTCATCACCAGAGTTATCAACCAAGAATTGAGGTGTTCATTCTTTCCTAGAACTATCGCAGAGTGGAACTCACTGTCACCAAGTACAGTAGGGGCGTTGTCATTAGATAGCTTTAAACAATGTCTAGAGTTAGAAGTTCAAGGGTTAGGTGTAACAAGTCGATTGGTGTAATATAGCCAGCTGCCGTCGCGCCGCGTGCCTGCGAAGCTGGTGTGTTACACCGAAAGGCGGTTATACCGGCCATACAGATACAGATCTAGAGCTTTCGGCCAGTCACTCTGGGGTCTTGACTACTTCCTCAGAGCGGTGAAAGAGGCTATTTACATGTACATCAGGGCCCATCACCCTTCACTCAACTGCAACAGTGGCCAACATCGTTTACCAGATACCTTTCACCCATGCCAGTGTTGATGTCACACTTCAGAAAAGCCAAGTGACTGGTCAAAAGCTCTAGGTGAGAACAATTCTTTGTGTTGGATCAAAAGTTTTAACTCTAGACACACATGTCAATACAAGATTTAAAGCCAATTTGAACCTCTGACTAATAGCATCAACCACTATCTATCATTCCACTATCTATTATTAAGAATTTTTCTTTTTCAATACCAAAGATATTGCAAAAAGTTTTTTTCTTCATGTTTGACAAAACTTTATCCATCTAGAGGGACAAATGCACTCAAAAGTCAATACATGGCAGTCTGATCTGTTAACAAGTAAGCTTTAATGCCAATTTGGAACTGGAGTTACCTATCAGAAAGCATTTCTCGGACAACAACCATACATATCAAACATATTGCCGATTTTTTTTCATCATGTTTGACAAAACCTGATCCGTCTGGATGGACAACAGCAGATGGAAGTTACAGATATTTTCATGGTCATTGCTCTGCAGAACTCACCCAACTAGTTCCACCACTCAGAACTTTTAAGCGTTCCACTAGGTTCTCCACTAGCTCACACAACTTCACCGTCCAAATTCCTTGTTCAAAATCTTCTTACAGTGACAGTTTCTTTCCCCGTACGGCCGAACTTTGGAATTCCCACCCTGACAAGTGTTTCCCACCAACCTACAATCTACAGGCTTTCAAATCAAACGTTCACCGCGCCATCTCTTGACATAGCCATGTTTCTCTCATCTTTCTAGTTCAATGCCGAGAAGTGGTCTTGCCTTGCATTGAACCACTCCGTTAAGAAAAAAATACATGACAAGCTGACATGCTCATGAACAAGTTTTGAAGCCAACTTGGTTATCCGACTGGCATCATTACCTAGGCCGGGGTTATCTAGTGTGAAGTGCTGTAAGTAATTTTCCTGGGCAACATCAAATGTGCTGCCAATTCGTGACCATCATCATGTCTGACAGAGCCTGGCAGACTCTTTCAGCAGATTCTGAAACGCTTGCGAGTCAATAAAATCTCAGGAGTGCATATGAACGACTTTTCCAGCCAACTTGGACACATGACAAATAGCGTTAGCTGCAGTGATCTATCAGACACGGCTGTAAATCGTTTTCTTGGACTGAAGCCAACACACTAGATGGAACAGTGAAAAAAAGATGTCATGCTGCCAACTTAACTACCTGGTGGTATATATACAGGTACTCTTCCAGCAGAGGTTTTGGCTTTGGCTTATTTTTGTTGTTATTTCGGAATATTTATTGTGCCTTCTTTATTGTACTGGTAGCTTTTTTTGCACCATTTGAGTGGCAAATGGCAACTGCCTGGCAAATAGATACTGCCTGGCAAATTTGATACTGTCTTCAGACACAAAAAGATCTTTATGGAGACCAGTTTGAATCTGGAGTAACTTGAGCTTACTTGCCTGTAGCCAGGATTTTGAATGAGGGGGCTCTTCCTAGTGCTTGAGGGACCAGCGAGCGCCATAGGGTATGCTCCCCCGGAAAATTTTGAAAAATAAACCTTCTGAAATGGTATTTCCTGCATTTTTGAGAGGATTTCAAAGAAAAAATCAGAGATGACTTTTTATTCAATGACAAAGCAGGCAGTTTTTATACCATTGTGATACAAATCAGTCCATCTAAAGAAAATTCTTGGACCTTTAGATAAAAAGTGGACCAAAAAGTGGACCTTTGAGCCTTGGGGGGGGGGTCTTCCAAACCCCCCCTGGCTCCGGGCATGGCTTACCTTAGCTCTGAACATGAAAGCCAGCACGGCGGCGACGATCTCGGCCGCGAAGATCAACAGGAGGAGGATGAAGAACTGGGGAGACAAAGTGAGTCAGTGAGGACACTGGTATCCACTGCAGCAGTCAATACATTTTACTGTTTCTTATGCAGTTATGATCATACTGTTGTGAACCTTGTGTTGTAACATGTAGTACTTTCTCAAGCTGCTAGAGGGCCCCATCACATACATTGCACGATCGTTGTAAGATCCCAAACTGAAGTCATTCTCGGGACAATCATGCATGACTGATTGTGTAGTACAAAATTCTGTCTTGTAACAGAAAATTCTGTATACTATTAGTAGCCTCCTTTGCAGACTTCTCTGAGTAGGGGCATTTATTGTTTATTGTTGGGAATACTGGTTTGCAATCTGACCTTGTACGTTTATCAGACTGGGTTTGCATGAATAAGTTAGTGTTGAATATTCTTAAAACTAAATGCATGCTTTTCGGAACCCCACGTAGGCTCGCTAGTTTGCCTGATAATTCACTAGATCTTGCAATCGGTACTGAGAGGGTACAGGAAGTGAGGGAGACAGTTTTGTTGGGTCTACACATGGATAGGTCTCTCACATGGAACTCACATGTTACTCACATTGCGTTAAGACAATCAAGAAACATTGCCCTATTGAGAAGGCATATGTGGGCGATGCCTTTTGCAGTTTGCAAGGTTGTTGTTTGTGCACTGGTTCTGTCAGTTGTGCAGTACTGCGCACCAGTCTTAGCCAACATGTCAGACTCCAACATGCGCAAACTGCAAGTAGTGCAGAATAGGGCATGTAGACTGTTACTGAAATGTACTCCTGATACTCCTACCAGGCAGATGCATCTAGATCTTGGTTGGCCGACTGTGAGAGAGAGATTCTTGAAAAGCACTTTGGTCATGTTCTTTAAGATCCTCACGAGTCACGAACCACAAAATATTTACAACTCCCTTTTGCCTGTTCATGCATCTCACAGTCATAATACCAGATCTTCCGCACACAACTTTAGATTACCAATACCTAAGTCCAACAGCAGAAAACGCTCATTCCTGTATCGTGCAGTCGTGCTCTGGAACGATCTACCATCTGACGTTAAGACACTGTGCGATGTTATCAGTTTTAAGAAAGCCGTTTCAAACAGTAGTAGTGTCACCTGATCCTTGACCCTTGCTCGCCACTTTTAAATTGTTTATATCTATGTGTATTTATTGTTGACGTGGTGTACATGTATGTATGTATGTATTTTTAAATGTTTCCACTATGTTGTAATTGCTATAATGTTTGAGCCTTGGAAGATTAGCCCTTCGGGGCTAAAAGGTTTCGAAATAAATGAAATGAAATGTTGGGAAGAGCGCCAATATGCAAATTTTTACGCGGGTGAAGGTTCTCTAATGCACAAGAGGGAGTTATGCTGCAGAGGGAATTTCGCTTTGTAGAGGTTAAACAGCACAAAATGTAGAACTCTGCAAAAGAGCCTACTGTATTAGATCATTGTCAGTGGTTGGTCAGAGCCTGATTTAGATTCTTACATGTATGTCAACAAAATCATATGACAAGTGACCATGCCATTATACATGTACATGTACCTAGAAAATGCTGGCTTACCGTATTTAATACCCTTGTACGTATAATGTAATAATTGTAACCATTCTAATATATTCCATATGTCGCAAGGTCCCGTCAATTATAACAGTTATGTATATTATGACTACATATCAAGTCTGTCCCTAGACACAATATGTATCGATTTTAGTGACAATACAACAGCACTCTTGGTCAGGGCCACATGTATTACAGCCGATCGTTACCTCCCTTATGTCTCATTACCACTCATTAGACAAAAGTCAATGAAGATCACCAATTTGTGTGGATGTAGGACAAAGACATGGCCACAATTACACATAATGGACAGACCGATGGAAAAGGAATTAAAGCAGAAAAATGATTAGGCCAATGGGACCACTAGGGAGGGAGTGGTGCCACTTTATATTGATTATTTCATTTTCAACACTACCTCCAAATGATGTGCACGGCACGTTTGAATGGACAACAAAAAACAGTCACGTTCTTGTATGAAGTAAATTATCTAGGAATTACGTATGACAAGCGGAAGAAAAAAAGTGCCTTCAACATGCATCAGGACATTTTTGGATAACACAATGTCTACAGATGATGCCAGGACAATCATGTACTCATTTTCACCGAGTTAGGAAATAGGTGTTACCGTGTACGCGTCTTTCCCAAGGGCACAAGACTAGGGCCTGCCAGGGATTTGAACCCAGAACCTTCAGATTCTAAGTCAACAACCCTATTCACAAGGCCACCATGCTAACTGTGCTAGACAGGGCTATTACCTGAGTGAAGGCTCCAGAATAGTGACTACAATTCTAGTCCTTCTTTTTTTCCTTGGAACTCTGGTCCAGTTTGGATACTTTTGAGCTAGAAGGAACAGATAGAGTCTAAACTTTCCTACCTTGGTCAAGTTTTGTTTATTTCAGTAAATTTCATGGGAACTTTGATGGGCAGATCTGAGTGGTTACATCTTACATGGCCAGAGAGGACACATCGGAAAGTGAGATTAAAGATGGAGTACTCTGGGGTTATTTTACTATTGTCAACTTTTTGGGAATTTGAGCTGGTCAACCCTCTATCTGTTTTCTTTGTATATTTGGGAGGCAGACCCTTGATGATGAAAATGTGACTGTCTGGTGCACAAAAATTGAGACTGAAATGTGGGAAAGTTATTTTTTGAGGCCTTGTTTCAGTGTATTTAACTATAGCCTTCAATTGCTAAATGTACAAATTGGTATCTGCATGTCCTACAGAGGAAACTAGAGTTCCCCTATCTCATACCTTCGCCAAATGATGTTAATCTTTATGACTGACAAATTATAGATTTTTCCCCTCTGATTTAACAAATGGGACCCTCATCTTCATGAATTATATCATTTTATCATATTCTCAACCAAAAGAGAGTCTTATATTAACCAACAATGCCACTCTAGCATTTCCTCATACATTATGCAAATGAGGTCCTGATTTGAATACATTATGTTTAATGATGTTCATCAAGACCTACCCACCTACCAACTATCAAGACAATCCATCAAGGCCTTCTCAGGTTATCGTGTTTACAGACACACACACACACAGTCACATACATGTACATGTACACTAACGCCTCTGAAAACATAACCTTCTTGGCGAAGGTAACTACATCACTCCATACCAGGATGAGCATGCACTTGCTCTCCTTGATGGCTCCACAGCAGCCCAGGAAGCCGACGAAGAACACGAAGGCGCCGACCCCGATAAGGATGTACGCGCCGGTGATGAAGAGCGGGTTGTCCCCGACCAGCGTGATGAAACTCTGCTGCGCCACAATGACCCAGATCCCCACCCCCAGTAGGGCTGCTCCCGATAGCTGGGGAAACAAAGTCACAGTAATGTCATAGTCGTAGAGCTCAAACTTTGTTCCAACACAAGATCTAGAACGGAACTCACCATAAATTTTCGGTCAATTTCATTAACCTTCATCAGATCATGGAGTTGATTTTTACTCCATGATTTATCAGATGTGTGATGCACTCGCTGATTCTCCGGAAGTCGGAATCGTGATGACGTCAGGAGTGCATCACAAGTGGCGGGAAGACGGAATCTCCCACCATCACAGTTCAGAGAGGGTTGATGGGCCCTGATGTAATCTGCCTCCTTCACGCCCCTGATAAAGTAACCCTGCTCCGTATCCAAAAGGATTGCATCCTCACTTCTTTTGATTTCAGTGGCTTAGTTCTTGATCATTCTTTCTTGTTCTTTAAGTTCTTACTTAGTCAAATGCCTTTGAGGTCTGCCCTAAGTATGCCAAGCAGTGCTAAGGCCTAGGAAAAAAATTGTATTTCCTGTTTCCCGACCGACCCTAGACTTTTTTTGGGGGTGGACTCTTGCAAGGGACGAGCTGATCAACCTTTTCTAGCTCCATGATCTGACACCTGAGGGATAAAACGTTGTACAATTGTTTTTCTAACATTGACATTGAAAATAAAAGTGTCCTCAGGCAAGTTTTACTTTGTTAAACTGTATTGTGTAGGTTGGACCACTACAAATGTATGTAGATATCACTGAAGTCTAAAAAAAAAATACATGTATGAAGTAAAAAAAGATATTTCTTACCTACCGACCCTAATTTTTTCAGGACTGAAACAGACTGGAAACCTTCTCTGTCTATGAGACGAGACCTTGCCACATTGAGAACTATCCAACATGTCTTAAACGACACTGACAACCCCCTGCATGACTTTGTATGTGTAGCGCCTCAAAGCACATATAACTTAAGACGAAGGAAACAGTCACGCTCCACTTTCAGTAGAACGAAACGTCATGAACTGTCGTTTATACCACGGGCTTTGAAGATATTATCTCTGCATTCTACATAGTGGTATATTGATTTTATATAAATAGTCTGTAAATATGGCTCTTTTAATTATTACGATTGTATTATATGTATTCTGTAAATTGATGATCAATGACCAGATTTTAATATTATATCTCTATAATTTTAACTTATTGGATAGTCCATGATACGTGCAGTGTTTGTGAAAATTCGACATATTTCATGTACCATATGATTGTGTGACATGCCAGTCGATTTTAAATAAACTGAAACTGAAACACAACATTTTTTTCCTAGGCCTAACATTAGAACTTTGAATTATAATAGCAACATGGGTTTCAGCACTAAGGACACACCTAAAAAAGTTGTAATGTTCGGAAAAGTTGCAACAGAGCTTCCCTTGGGTCACCTTGGAATGCTCTTTGAAATCATGGCCATATGGTAAAATGTAATTCAGCATGAAAAGAGGTCTGCATACAAATTGGCCATCAAGACTGTTTTGCAGACACTTTCCATGAAATTTACTGGGCAAATAATCACCCAGGTTTTTAATTGACACATGATAAAAACTATGCCTATCCTACAGTAGCAAAATCCATCTTACCCAGAAAAGCAGGTTGAAGACAAACAACAGGTACTTCATGCAGTTATAACAGCCTCCTTCTGAGTCCATGGTGATTGGTCCTCCGACGTCACCTGATCAAAATGCTGTAGTGTGATTGGCTCTTCAGTGGTTTAGTAAAGTCCAACAGCAGTTGATAAAATCAGCTCTCCTGGATACCTGAAAAAGAAGGATTATGTGGTAAGACTTCAGATTGAAATACAGTAACTTTTGGTAGGAAATTTAGTAGAAAAATTGCAATATAACACAGCACAAAGTCCTAATTCGATTTTTGTTTAGTGCAACAAATTGTTAAAACATTGAAGAAATCAGAAGTTCTTGTTCATATGCATGAATCATAGCTTGCATTTGTACCAGTTAGAAAACACCCAGTAGTCTGTTTTACTTATCGGGCTCTACTGTGGCAGTGTTCATAATTACATTTGCACAGTAAATCCTATCCAGATGAAGACATATTCTGCATCATTGGTCATCCTGTTAATTTCATTGAGTTACGTTACATGGTGCACAGTTGTGATAGAAAGAAAAGATATGTTTTTCGCCCATTAAGAGGAAGTGGACTATTAACTAAGGCCAGCTAATGGAGCGAAGATTTCATTAGTGAGCTGGTGAGTTGGAAAGTTGGCAGCATCACGTTGTTGTGATGAGATGGATGGATGTGGTAATGGTGAAGTACTGTCTGTTCCCAATGCGTGATGCTTGACATTTACTACAACTGTTATCTGCAGCAGGAAAGCACTTTACAAGAAATGGATTTAGTCTACTGAATGCCTGGTTTGTGGCTGGAATTACAGAACATGAAACACAGTTTCTTTCTGTCGCTTGCAATGTAGCAAGTTATCGAAAATCTCACCAGCGGTCTGTGAAACCTGTCGAGTTGCTGTTCAAGCCATATTATAAAACTGTCTATACCAGGGCTCAAAATACATTTTTCTGTATACTTGCACTGGAAACATTGAAAATTACTTGCACCAGGCAAATATTACCTGGCAGTGCACCACTTATCTTGGAATTATGGATCATATTAAAAACTGTTCAGAAATTATTGCCATATTTCTTTCATTCTTCATACTATAGGTGGTAGCAGTCGATACAGCAAATAAAAATACAGGTTGTGTGCAGTTGGACACTCATCTGAAATACCTGCACAGCTCTAATATTACCTGCAATATCTTGCATATTGTAGAGCAAGTCAAAATTTTGCCAATGGCTACAAGCTCTTGTTTATGTTTACAAATAAAACATTTGATTGATTGATTGATTGATTGATTGATTGATTATGTTGCATCAAGCATTATGCTTTGAGTTGACCAGAGATGATATGTCATTTTCACACATTTTGTAACTTCTCTTGGCAACACTTGCAATATAAACCTAAGCTTAATGACTCTAACCTAGGGGGGGGGGGGGTTGGTACCTAAATGTTAGCACTCTTACCAACAATTTGGAAGACAAATTGCACATTTCAGGTGGTATGAGTCGCCTGCTGAAAATTGGTTCCTTATCATGTAGCACCTAGTATCAGAGCCTAGACTAATGATCATGGTTCTTAAAGTAATGGCAGGTCAACCCTAAGATGCCAATGGTCAGCCGTACATATGAGACACGGACCCATTAGACCTGATCTCCAATACCAGGTACATGGTCAGACTTCCAACTTCAGCATTAATTGATGCCTGGAAAAAGGCTCACAGGATCCATTCAAAAAGGCCCATACAAAGGTGAGGCAACAACACAGCTGCCAATCTATGGTCTACTCTACAGAACTGACAAAGATTGTCTTTTAAGAACAGAAAAATTGACACTTGAGGTCAGAGGAATCAATCCATCAACCTCTGATAGTGAGTATATTGCCTGGGATTATGATTAAAATGTCAAACATTGCCTAGAATTTAACACTAGCAAAATCAAAAGCTCTAAATCCCAGGTCTGTATGAATCTCCAATGCCAAGTAACTGCATGCCTTTCTGTAAAATCATTCTTTATTCATAGATAAAATAAAGAAACATTGAGCCCAGGTCACGTCGGCCATAACTGACCGAACATGCAGGGAGCAGCAATTCTAAACTGGCAAATAAAGTAATTGAAACAGGAACATCCTGCATCATAAATCTTTCAGAACCAGATGTTAGTGATTATACATGTATATATTTTATAAATTATAGCTATTCTCAACTGGAATAAAAAATAAAAGAGACCGAGCAAGGTGTCCAAACCACCTCCCAACATGCCCCACCAGCCGACCCCTATCGTAGCACCATTGCCTCCCCTTGACTGAGGAGCGATGGATGGCCTTGTCACACCGGATACATCGTTTCCCCCATCCATCCACCCACCTCTGACCCTATCTAGGACTCGAGCTGCCCAATCTACAGTGTGTGGACGTCAGGCGATCTATAACGGACAGGACTGGACTGACCTTCCCTTAACCCTGGCTGTACGTCTACTGATCCTCCGGCACAAATACAGCAGCAATCTACTTCTGATTACCTTGTAGATGGCTTCAAGTTCATTCACTTCCTTCCCAAGAAAACACTGTTAGAGTCACACCACAAGGTTTTCGTCAAAAAGGTTGACAGCGTCACTGCATCAGCAATTTTTTCTGCACACGCATATACTATATAGTGCTGTGTACCGGTTCACTGGACTGGTTCCGGACTTGTAAAAATGTTTAGGTTCAAGTCCAAGAAAACCTAATAGTCAAGAACCGATTCCGGACTTATCCCAAAAAAACATGTCACATACCCCTTTTCTTTCCAAACCACCTAAAACCTTCCATAGATTGCAAAATCGGTGCTGCAAAATGAAGAAAACATTGCCATCGTGCATCGTCAAGTGTCAGCCTCCATGTTATGCAGCCAAAGTTTCACACAGACAACATTGCAAGGTTGCCAACATGCAATTATGTATATGCCATGGGTTTAGGTCCGGACTTACAATTCCAGAAATGAACCTAAACCTCTGGACTTGAATCTGGACCTGAACCTAAATGTGGGTTTAGGTATGCAGCACTACTTCGAACTGTAACATTCGACAAGAAAGAACTCACAGGACTTACCAAAATGTTCGACTGAGCGGCACCAATCTTAACCAAGGAATGAACGAATCCACGGCTTTTATGACATCACATCAATCAAATTACAGTCATGTGATTCAAATCGATACACCCACACAAAAAGATAAGTACAGCTTGTTTTGGAATGGACATTTATGACGCGTGTGCTCATTTTTGACAGTTCCATCACAAGTACAACATATTCCCCCATTATGTGGTAGTTTTACGATGGGTGGATCTCTGCCAATACCACAATGGCAGTTAACACCGTTCTATGTGTGTTGAGGAAGGAACAGGCTGGAATCAATACTCCAGTAAATGTCACCTATAAAGTCAAGTTTGCGTGGTCAAAGTGTTGAAAAAAAAAGCTTGAGTGACGCAAATTGGCCCGACAATCTGCAGAATCAGGGGTACTCTACAGAAGCCAATACAAATGGCATCAGCGAGCTGGTTTGTATGAATAATACAGCAGAACACCGTGGTGCCAGGCTCGTTACACGTCTAATTAAATCCCGGAGCTCGGCCGTTTCCTGGTCAGGAAGATGAGCTGCCATGTCTTGTCATCTCACCGTGAGACTAGCCACAAATCCACATGAGAGGGCCACAATAATAAAGTGGTCCACTCAAACTTACGGGCCTTAATGGAAATTTTAAGAGGTTTCTAAGAATAGGGGCTCTTTATAGAATGGTCTCCGTGTACTAACTAAGTAGCTGTACCATTGTGCAGTGAATACTTATGTCATAGGCTATGACTTTTTTCATGTATGCCCCTTGGGCCATAGTGTTGGAAAAATTGGCACTAGGACAATAAGTTTAACCTTATTTGTTCAAGTTACAATTGGATAATGTCTTCTTGCCCTGTCTGTGGCAAATTGCACAATATAATTGTGGTTGCCCTCATTGTCCTGAATTAGCGTAGGTAAAGTTGGTGTGTGGGAAAAAAAACTTTCTGAAGAGAGATTTGCCGTTCCCAAAGAGGCAGAACAATTACTCTGACAGCTAAGCCATTAGACGCAGGTACTTCTTCACATACTTTTACTACCCACAAGTGTCCATTACGATGCCTGCATTTGAACAACATCTCAAACCTATCTTGACACTAGCATAAAGGATGGCTGCGCATAAACTTCTAGTGCACTTGTCTTAAAAGCACTTAAGATGGAGGGAAATAAAGCATTCCTTCTTGCACAGGGCCCATGGTAAGAATAAGGAGAGGCAATTCTTACTGAAATTTCCCAAAGGACTTCCTTTGTCACACAAAAATTCTTTATTCCTCACCATCTGAATGTGGGTCCTTGGTGTGAATACATTGAGACATGTTTTGCTTTTACAAATTGGGTCAGCCAAACATATACTGACCTCAGCTCTCTGACCTCAATTCCTGCTTGCATGAATAGCATCTGTGAGTGTTGTGACTGAGTAAGTGATTATGAGGATATGAAGGGGGTACAACATTCTCATCTCTGAAAAAAAAACACTCTCCATACAGCTTCAAAAAAATGCATCTCTGTAGACATGTTTGCTATCATTTGAGGGCTGTATGGAGATTTTTTACACAATTCTCTGAAAACTAATGCTCACACACCACCATCCTAGCTTTGGATACATGTGAGTCTGAACATAACCCGTGGTTCAAGATTACCCTTTTCACAACCTCACACAGCACTCAGTACACTACAAGATCACGATTTCTACAGAGACTGATCAGAATACCAACTAGGATGCAAAGAGGCATTTATGAGCTGGAATTCCCAGGCGGAATTTTGATGGCGGTGAGTTATTGGCGGTGCTACTGCTCACAGAAATGGTATGGCAATAAAAGAAGCCTGGGATGATAATGGATTAAAACATGAGCACACCTTGGAGAAACCATATAGCCTCCAACACAAACCCTTTAGATCTCCTACATGAAAATCAGAAACTAACTACTAATTAAATAAAGAAAGATAACGTTTGTAAAGCAAATGCATATTTATGTTTACCTTCACATAGATAGAGTCTCGCCTTACAGCTACTGCTCTGTTTATGTATTCTTATAAATGGTGACAAGCCCCTCCAAATCTGTCCTGCAACTTGCTACATAATATAATCCAACACCACAGGG